TCGCCACGTTTTTCTTCTGCCCCCGAGGTGCCTCTCTCTCCTTGTCTTCCTCTCTCCCTGACACATTTCCTGCTGTGCACTCAGTCATCACCACCTTGATCATTACTGTCATCTCAGTCTCCAAACTGTCACTGCCCAAACCAGATGTATGCAGGTTCTTAGAGTGGGAAGAAGAAAAACCGAATTCAGACCCAATTCCACTGGAGTTTGGGAAATTTCAGCCAGGCTGGACTCAGATGGCCTTGTGTCCACTCTGAAGGCCTGGGCTTCTCAGACGGGAATGGTGCTCTCTATGCAAGAGTAGGAATCTTGGGGGTGTCTTTCTGCAAAAGGGCAACCCAAGTGCTAACTTGGGATGGCCTTTATCATTACGGCGGGGAGGCTAGTTCCCGGTCAGGTCTATATAAAAGGACATGGTTCCTCTGTCATGCATCTGCAAAAGGACACGAGCATTGCAGGTCTTTGGGCGCTGTTCGAGGCTGCTGTCTCCACCCGACTTCACAACCTGCCAGGCACTCTTCATAGTATTTCATCGCTTGGCTGTAGGAGATATGGGGATGAACCCCGGGGTGGTGACAGATGGAGAGTCCCTTCTCTTTGCTTTTTCTGAGTGAAACTAGAGAAAACACACTCATTTTATATCCACCAGGCGCAAGCTCCTCTTGGGGGGAAACCTCTTACGTGCAACCTGCGGTGCCACCGTTATGGATGTGTCTGATCCGGGCGGGCCGTGAGATTTCTCTTGTCCACCCAAGCATGCCTCTGTGGCCCCACCCTCGGCACGGGAGTCGCCGGGGCAGCTGCCCCCTCTGGTGTCCCATGACGGGCTCGCCTGGTGCGGCTGAGTGTGCCGGAGCGTGCTGGGCTCGGGATCCAGAACTCGGGCGGCCAACTCTATGGTCCGGGCTGCGCAGCAGTCCTGGTGCCCTCTGCTGGCCACGGCTGAAAGCGCAGGCAGCCTTGGGCCCGCACCGCCCGGACCCTGCGGGAGGCCGTCGGGAGGCCACCGGGGCTGGCAGAGGGTGCCATGGGCCACGGCTTGGCCCCCATCCCAGAGCACGGCCCGCCTCTCCCGGACGCACCCCTGAGGCCCAGCTCTCTGTGCCGTTCTGACACATCCGTTTGCCGTCTCCCTCCAGGGTGCAAAGACCTCCCCTGGCTCTAGTCTCACCAGCTGTGTGGCTCCCGGGAAGCCGCGCGACCTCTCTGGACCTGGTTTGCTCCCTGTAAGGTCTCACCCGCCTCCCAAGCCCATTTCCAATACCGGTTCCTACGAGTGATCTGGGCGCAGGGCCCCTCCCGCCCGGCACGAACACCTCACCTTTGGCTGCGGGGCCCTGGGGCCGCTTTCTCGGGCTCTCGCCTCCCCGGGGCAGAGGCTTTCTTATCCTCTCTCTTTTCTGGATCCCCCGCGGCACCCCCCGCGCTGTCTTTGCGCAGCACAGGCGCTCACTCAACAAATACCTGTTGCACTGATTTGTGTTAAAATGGCTGCCTGGGACTAGAGATTCCCTCAGGTGCCTCCTCTGCTCTCATTCTTTTTCATTCCGATTGTCGCTTGTGGGTTGGCCTCGTCTCCCAGGTGAGACTTTAGATCCTAGAGGGCAGTGTGAGGGAATGCTGTCCTGGTGCTTTACCGAATATAGAAAGCGATTCTGACATTGTGAAACAGTCACGCACGTGGTCCTCTCTCTCCCCCTCACCCTGCAGCACATTTCGGGAGGGCGAGGCGGGAGGATGGGGCTGTAAACACCAGGCTGAGGCTGACCGCCTTCCCTGCTCCCGTGCGCCCCCACTCCGCACCGGTCCTCCGGGCCCCATCTCTGCCTGGCCCCATGAGTCTCCTGCTCAGTTGGGTCTAGTGGTGTCACTGTCACTCCTCACCAGCTCGCTCCCCAGCCCCGCCCTGCTGCTCTCAGGAAATTGCGGTGGGCATGAGTATAAGGCTCATGGGAGTTCCCAACGCCCTCCCTGCCATGGCTGACTCTTCTCCCAGGCTGCTCCAGAGCAGCCCATACACTGCCTCCTGGAAAGGACAGTAACAGCTAATGTTTATTAATAGCTCGCAGTGTGCCGGGAGCCTCGCTGAAAGCTTTGCACGTATTATCTCATGTAATGCTCCTAAGAACCCTCAAAGATGGCTCCGTTATTACCCTTATTTTATACAGAGAAAGCAGAGGCACAGAGAAGTTAAGCTACTTGCCTAAGATCACACAGCTAGAGAGTGGGAGAGCCAGCATTCAAACCCAGACAGTTTGATTCGTGAGCTTATGTTCATAACATTCCTTCAGGCAGCAGAAAGGAGGGCTAGGCACCTCGCAGACACACATGTGCAAACGCAGGCACACATATGTCAACCTAAGCACACGCACACCTGTGGCCTGTGTGCTGTGCACGTGTGAACATTCCGGTGAAGCCCACGCGCACTCAGGTGCATCAGGTTACACGCATGCACCCATGTGAGTACTTACACACAGTGCTCTGAGTGTCTTACCGCTTGTGATGTTTCAGAGAGGTGCTGTCTAATAGAACTTTCTGCCATGCAGGGAATGTGCTATGTAGACAGCGCAGACTGTCTGACACAATAGCCATGGGTTACTTGTGGCTACTGAACCCTGGACATGTGGCTATTGAGATTCAGGAATGGAATTTTTAATTACATCTGCATAAAATGAATTTAAATATAAATAACCACATGTGGCTGTCGGCTACCGAATTGGCCACCTCGTGGGACTGTCGTGAGGATGGAGAGAGACGATGTGGGACCGTGGGCAGCAGAGGCCTCGTACTTCAGAGTGCTCAACAATAGATGCAGTTTGTTAATTACCACCCAGTAAGTGACAGTGCGTGTGCACTGACGTGTGTATAGCCTCCGAATCGCCATCACTCCTCTGTCCAGCTGCCCTCCTGACAGTGGGCTCAGACCCAGGAGTACCTGTGAAGGTGACAAGGAAGGAGGGTTTGGCTCTGGGATGTCGGTGGAGAGCAGTTTGGGGTGGGGACCCAAGTGCTTTGTCACTTGCCTGCACCCAGCAGGAGGTGGAGGGGGCGGCCTATGGCCCTGGGTTCTCCTACCCACTGGCCCCCTCACCTCAGCCCAGAGCCTCCCAGGTACCTGGACGAATGATTTCATCTCATTTGTAAGTAAAACATCAGCTTCTCTCTTTGCGTGTTGCTTTTATTGGTTTTTTACTTTAAAGGAGGGGGAAAAAGGGCCAGCAGTCTGCCTCAGGCGTTTGGTGGTGGCTTTGGGGGCCATAGAGAAGTCCCTAAGGGGCTCTTCTCTTCTAGTAGTTCAGAGAAATGAGCTGGTGAGGTCAGGCTCTTGGGGACAGCTGGGGCGGGGGGATGTGGGCCACAAAGACAGGGAGCTCGGGGCAGGCGGGGTGGGAAGGCTGCGAGGAGGCCGGGCAGGGAGGAGGGAGCACTGCGACCTACATCGCCGCTGTGAATCTGGCTGACTCACCCCTGGACAGCAGTTCCCGCTCTCCCTGCTGGGTGCAGTGCAACCTTGGCGTGCTGGGAGAGAGACGCTCCAAGAAAGGGCAGCAGCAGTGGCCCTGGCAGAAGCCGGAGGGAGTGAAGCTACAGCATGAGGGATTTAGGTGGGAGCATGGGAAGGACAGACCTGGCTAAATTCTGTGAGATGGTGCAAGGGGGATTTGAGGCAGGAGGAACAGTTTTCTTTATTACACTCACTCATGGCAAAGTGAGGGTTAGCAATGTCAGCGTAGGTGAGCACCCGCCTGGAGGTGTGTGGGGGTGTGGGGAGGAGAGCACTCCCAGCATCCTCTGTTTCAGGCTTCATGCATGTGTGACCTCATAGTGTGCGCGACACAGTCTGCCACCTAATTGATGCTCGGTCCACACTGAGGAAGAACAATAATCACATCTATGAAGTCCTGTTTAATTTGTTCTGTTGTAAATGACTTTAAACACCATGACATACCGATGCCTCTCAAATTTATACCTCCAGCCCAGATCTTCACGCTGAGCTCCGGATCATATATCCACCTGCCTTCTTTCTGCCTCTTCTGGGACGTCCCACAGGCCTCCCACTCTCAGCACGGCCGGAACTTTCAACACCCACCTCTAAAATGCGTTCCTTCCCGGTAAATGGCCCCACTCAGCACCGAGTGGCTCACAGCGTCCTGGGCTTTTCTCTTTCCCCTCACTTCACACCATCCATCCGCAAGTCCTGGGACCCCTAACTCCCCAATGCAACCTGCTCCGTCTATTTCTTGCACCCTCACTGCTCACCTTAATCCACACCTCCATGTCTGCTCTCCTATAGCAGCCGAAAGATCTTTGTGTAACGTATGTTAGAACATGCCTCTTCTGATGTGTCTAGCTATCCTTAGAAAACAATGCAGACGCCCCTCCCTCTTGACCTGCCGGGCCTGAGACAACCTGCCCGCACCAACCCCTCCCACCTCGCTGTCCCCAACGGTCCCATGATGCCCCTGTCATGCTGGTCTTTCTCCTGTTCCTGGAACACAGGAAGCTTATTCCTGCCTCAGGGCCTTTGCACCTGCTACCGCCCCCTTTGCCCAAGTGCTTTCTCCCTCCCCATCTGCTTGTTGTCTGGATCTTGGCTTCACTGTCAGTTCCTCAGGGGCCCCTCCCTGCTTACACAATATACAGCAGCCCCTGTCACTCCACACTTCATCTGTACATTGTAAGTCTCAGCACTGTACTAACGATCAGGTTTTTAATTTTTATTATTAATTTATCATCTAACTCGCCTCATGAAAATGTAAGCTTCAGGAGAGCCAGGAGTTTATCTGCCCTGGTCATTGTTGTATTTCCAGCAGGGAGACCCGTGCCTGGCATGGAGTGGGCGATCAATAACTATTTGTGAATGAATGAATTATTTAATCCGGATGGTGTTTGTCAGGGAAGGCTTTTTGCCTAGGGTAGAAGTGTGAGCTCATGAATGTGTTTCCTGGACTGGCTCTTGTGTACGAATTGCAAGACTAATTAAACTCATACATATTTGTGGAAATGCAAATATAATTTTATTTACCAATGACTGTAATAAAGGTAAATGCTCCTTAGTTAAACAAACAATTCACTTTGGGAATAGAGCTGTAAACAGAAGCAATAAATAAACACTCGTTATTGAGTGCTCACTGTGTACCCACTGAACTTCATGAGCCGGCTGCTCTGGTCTATGCACAGGAAGGTTGAGGCCCAGCTAGGAAGACTTGCTCATTCGGGGACACGGGCACTTAACCACAATGGGTCCAAGCACTCTTAACCAAGCATGTGACTCTTGGGAGCACAGTTTGGCATCCTGGTCCTGCCACTTACTCGCTCTGTGCCCTGGGAAGTTAGGGCACTTAAACTCTGTGCCTCTGTTTCCTTGTGTGTAAAACAGAAATGGAAATGCTCCCCTAGGAAAGCTGGTAGTATTAAATGAGATAGCACATTAGACTGCTTGGCACCGTGCTGGGGACGTGGTAGATGATAAATACATGTGAACAGTTCTTCTCTTATTATTATGATTATGATTATTGCCATTATACAAGATGATTCTGGATGTTTCTACATATTCTCACATAATTGCCACAATAACTTATGAAGCCAGCGTTGCTGTTCTTGACTTCCAGGTTAGGAGGAGCTCTGAGCTCAAGGAACAAAATGCCTTGCCTGTGGTCATCGCGAGCTCTCCAGTGTTCAAACCCAAGCCTTTGGGCTCTAGATCCAGTGCTCTTCCCAGGGCACCACAGCTGCCTCCCTTGACCTCGGTTAGAGCCTAGTGCCGATGTCCATGTTAACTCTTCAGTCCCTGCATGGGCTCGGCACCTCTCACCGTGGTTTCCGAACGACTCCTCACATCTTCTCATGCTTGTCCCCATCCCCGGCCTCCCAGAACCCCTAAGGTTTGCTCCACCATGGACTCTGGACTCTAAGTTCAGCATGAACTTTACATCATAGCGATACAGACTGTGCACCAGGAAACCTTCTTCGAGGTGATCCATTCACCCCCGTTCCCGGATGAAGAAATGGACGTACAGAGATGCCCCCAAAGGGGGTCCTGGACTAGAGCTCGGGGCTTTCACCCTCTCCCAACTCTGGCCACAACCTGACTTCCCTCCACCAAGCCAGGCATCTCCCAGCCATCTCCCTAGTCCCAAGGGGCGCAGGTGAGGGACACAGGGCACCCGAAGTCAGCCGCTGGTGGATGGGGACAGTTGTGTTTAATTATGCTTTGGGCATGGCTTTTCCGAGTGCTACCTCCCCACAGGTGTGTGAGCCTCCCTGGGCAGGGGCTGCGGCTCTGCTTTCTACTTCCCACACAACGTGCAGCCCTGCTCTGGGCATGCTGTAGGTGCGCAAGCCCCCAGCCTGTGTTACACGAAGCTTCTGGCTGGACCCACCCGCCAAACCTAAAGACAATCACCAAGACATTCACAGTCGTTATCTATAGGTGGTGGGGATATGGGTGCCTTTCTCTTCTTTCTACCTTCCCACCTTGCTGGCTTTTTCTGTGAGAAGTATTGCTGCCAACAGGAAACATTTATAATAAACTTAATATTAAAAAAAACCAGGCATTTTCTGGGGGCCAGAGTAATGGTACCTCCTGTCCCTCCAAATGAGTGAAGGAGGCTACCATGGGATCTGTGCCCGAGACGTGCCCAGCCGGGGTGCCTGGGGAGGTCTGTCGGGGGCAGAGCACCATCACCGTGCCTCGCCTTGGGGAGCTCGCAGTCTGAGGAGAGGCTGGCCGGACACGTGCTAGCAGCTGGGGTGGCGCAGTGGGCCTGAGGCCCTGGGTCGAGAGATTCAAACTCTGGGGACTCCGAGAGATTGACAATGCTGCAGCAGGTGGAGGCTTCCCTGGAGGGGGCTCGGTGCGTCTACACCAAGGAGCAGGCTTCTGTCTGGGTCTGGGGGAAGTGGGAGGGGAGAGGGTGCCCCAGCAGGGAAACAGCCTGAGCAGAGCTGTGGGGACGCGACTGTCTCACAGGAAGGGAGGGCCGAGGTGAGGGCAGGGGCAGTGAGGCCAGGGCTGTCTGGGTTGTGAACTCTTTTGACTTCCTTTCCTTTTTCATTTGTTCTACAGCTACAATTATCGCAGGCGCACCATGTTCCAGGCGCTGTGCCAAAGGCTCTACCTGGATCGCTGCATTTCATACTCGCAGGAAACTCATTTAGGCGGCGTGTGCACTCCCATTTGCTGGACAGGGAAACTGAGGCAGACCCAGTAGGTAAAGTGACTTGCCCAACTCACACGGCTTGTCAGTGGAGCAGCTGGGGTTGGACCTCAGCGCTGCCTGTCTCACAGCCCTGTGCTACCTCCGGAGCCTTCCGCCTCCCCTGACTGGGGTCGGGGCGGCCCGGGGAGCTGTGAAGTGCTGAGCAGGAGAAAGCTTCCACAGAGCTGGGGACAGAAGAGCTCCACCTTTGTACACAAAAACTTGCACGTAAATGTCCCACCAGCAGCGCTGGTTGGGCGTGTGTGTGGTTTGTGTGTGTAACTGCGTGAGGGTGAGAATGTGAGAATGTGAGAATGTGAGGTCAGGACCCACTTCCGAAATGTGAGGAAGACATGTCTGTTAAGACGGTTATGACAGCAGCCTAAGGAGTGGGTTTTATGGTGTAAGTAGATGGTCCTGAGAATGAGGGAGGTCATTCCCTGGGGAAGAAGGCTGGACCCCAGTGGCTATGAGGCAAAGCGCAGAAATATAGGGGACACCCGGGAGGGTGTCCAGCTTTGAGGCAGGAGGATGTGGTGGCATTCTGACAAGCTGGACTGGGAGGTGACTGCAGAGCTCCGGGGACCAGGCTACTTGATGTGTGTGGAGACCCTGAGGTTGTTATCCAACTGTGGATTTCCTGGCTCCATCTTCAGGGAATTCAAAGGTCTCGGGCCGAGGCCACAATCTTCCTTTTCTACCAGATTCCCAGGAGATTCTGATACAGGTGTCCTGGGAAAGGCCCGGCAAGGTCAGTGTCTGGCCTCAGCTTCAGGAAGACAAGGCATCTAGGCACACCCGAGGCACTGTGTGCCCCAGAGCTACTTGCTGGGGTGGGTCAGGCAAAGCACAGAGGGACTTGTGGGTTTTAGGAGAGGGTCGTGTCCCCAGGGGCCAGAGAGGTGGGGCCTCCAGATGAGTGGATGAGGCAGCCGAGGACTCCTGGGCAGGCAGGACTGGCCTTCTTCCCGCTGCCTAGGAGCAAAACAAGCTCACACTGGAGCCAGAGGTGGGCCAGGGCCAGGCTTGGGGAGGGCCTGCCTTTTGGACCTGTACCCTAAGTCACTGGACTCAGCCTCCCAGGGGCCTAGAGATGAGGCCGAGGGACAGGACACCTGTAGCTAGACACGAGGCTAGGCGCAGGAGCTCTGTGCACCTGGGCAGAAGGACAGGCGCGGGGGGCAGAGGTGCATTCCGCCGGAGAGCATCGCCCATGCCCACCTGGGCCCTCCTCCGCACCGCCTTTCCCTCAGGACACTTGGCTTCCAAGCGCTGCCTCTGGCCTGGCTGGTCGGGTCTGAGCACCATCTGCTGCAGCCCAGATGGAGGCGGCGGGGCGGGGCCTCTCTTTCCCAGAGCTACCGCCCCCCAGCTCTCTCTCCATGTCTCTCTGTCTCTGTCTATCTCTTTCTCTCTCACACACACACACACACACACAGCCCTGCACTTGTGGTTGTCTCTGAGAAGAGCCCTCGGGGCAGCCTTCTCGGGAGTTGACCCCCTCTTCTTCCGGTGTCCCAGGGAATGTGTGGGCAGAATGTGAGAAAATGCCACAGATGGCCCAGCCATGCGTCCAGGAAAGCAGCGAGGTCTCTGGAGGACACCGTCTGACTTAGCCTCCCACCCAATTAGGCTGCCCACAGCCACACGTGTGCGGAGCCTTCCTCCCCCACACACTCCTCCCCGACACCTGGCCAGAGGCCCCTCAGAAAGACACCCACGTGCGCACACATTTGCAGAGTACGGCAGGCGTGCCCACCCCGGGACTTGGACTCATCTTTTCTGTTTTTTACATGCACTTGGTAGAAACTGTAGTCATAGACGTACACACAATCTGTCACGAAAAGTTGGCCCACCCGAGCCCATCGCAGCCCACACGTGCCTGCATACACTCAGCACATATGAGCACACATGTCCACACATCTCCTTGTCCGGGTCTTACAGGATGAGATCGGAGCGTGCTCACATGGAGGTGGTGTGTACGCATGCTACCCACTGTCCCGCGTGAACACGTACATGCAGGCACAGTGCGGTGAGAGGCCCCAGGTCCCAGAGTTCTGGGAGGCCCCAGAGACCCAGAGCTTCAATCAGGCTGGGGACAGACGGGGCCCTGGCAGAAGATTCCCCTGGACCCTGACCTGGGAGAGGAAGGGTGGGGCTCTGCCCAATAGCAAGTCCCAAGATGAGGAAGCTTTGCAGCCTTGGAGGAATAGAGAGAGCCCTCTCTGTGTCCTCCCTTCTTTTGCCAAAGCAGGGCAGAAAATACAGCTCTCCCACACCCGACAGACACACGCTGACCCACACAACGCCAACAGCCAGCAGACGCACAGGATGCAGCGTCAATGCAAAACCTAAGGATACAACATGAATCCACATGGCACGTGTCCAGAAGACACATGGTGCTGTGCCACAGTCCCCAAAGGTGCAAACCAAGCCTCACCCCTTGCAGCCTGTTGGCATAGCATGCTCACGCGGGACAGGGCAACACTGTGCCACCTCCTGCAGCAACCCGTCGCACCTCCCGTGCAGCACACACAGCTCAAGTCCGCGCATGTGAAAGCAGGCTGCCCTGTCGCCCCAAGAAAGCCTCAACTTCCAAATGGTCTGTTTATCCATATGGTGGCGAAAACAGAGAGAACTCAGTCCCAGATCAGGATTTTATTTTAAAGAAAAGAAACGCATAGGTTTCCTGTTCCCTGATGAAGCCTGTGGCTTTGTTAACCTTTTGCTCTGTGTGTGTGTGTGTGTGTGTATGTGTGTATGTGTGTTTATTCTCTCAATACAGCCGAACAGGGCCACTTTCTCTGCCACTTGTGTTCCCATGGGCCGACAGGAACCCAGCAGGCTGAGAGCAGGCTTGGGTGGATAGCAGAACACTGGGTGTGCAAAAACCTCTCTTGCTCCGAGCCATGGCCTCCAGGAGAGGTCTTGCCTACCCCTCCTCTCCTGCCTTCCCAGTCGCCACCTCCTGGAGCTGCCTCTTCTGCTCGCAGGCCTCACCCTGCCTGTATGAAAGCTGCCCTGGCCAGTGTGTGGGGCTGGGGGGCCTCCAGGACCTCCTTTTGGTCTTGGTCAGAGGAACGGGAATTTGGATCCCGCAGGTTGACGCAGAGAAGTGATTGCACAGGGAGTGCTCTCAGCAAACGCCTTCTGTTTATTTGTTGGTTTCTAATGAGGATTTGGCCTCAGCCTTTATGGGGCCCCTGTGCCCCCCTCCCCTCTAAACCCGGCCCTTGTCATCCCTCTCTCCAAACCGCTGCATTATCCCTCCTGCTAACACATTGGGTGGCTAAATGGTGTCAAGGGCCTCGTGGTTAACTAAGCCTTGTCGTTAAGGAGTGGTACGTGAGTGTGTGCCTCTGTGTCCGTGTATTTCTATTTGTGCTTTTTTGTGTGTGTCGCTGTGTGTGTCAGAATGTTTCTATATGTGTGTGTCTGTGATTGTGTTTGTGAGTGTATCTGCATTTCTGAGTGTGTATGCTCGCGTATGTGGGTATGCGTATGAATGTCTATATCTGAGCTTGTCCTATGTGCGTCTGCGAGTGTGTATGTATTTGTGAGTCTCTGTGTGTGTGTGTATATGTGTATCTGTATATGTGTCCGTGTGAGTTATCTCTCTGTGTCTGTAAATGCGTGCAGGTCTCTCTGTGTGTATCTGTTTTCAGACCCTGCATACAAGACAGTGCGTAATGATTTAAGAAAATATTAGCCAATAATGTTGCAGGGCTTCAGTTTCCCCATCTGCAGAATGAAGGAGATGGAGGAGATAATCTTGTTATTTACTTCCGTAAAGGGAGCGCGCAGTCACAGGAATGTGGCGGGCTTGAGAACATGACAAATCTGGGTGCACGTAACCTCAGTCGAGTTACTGCTCTCCGAGCTTCCGTTTCCTCCGCATTCAAGGGGGCACGGTGATATCTCTGTCGAGGTTTTGTCGTGAGGATTTGATGAGATAAAATAAGTGAGAGGCTGCGTGTATGTCTCCTAGTAGGTGCATCATGTATTTCCCTTCCCGTCCACCCTGGGGCCTTAGCGTCGTCCCTGGCATTCTGTTCCCGAGAGGGAGCGGGACTGTCAGAGCTGCCCAGTGGTCTGCTGGGGCTGGTCCTCAATACGTGGCCCCTAGTATTACATGGCCTCCATGTAATAAGGGCACTGGCCCTTAATACATGACAGTGACCCTGGATATTTTGACTTTTACACCGCGTGCTGCCTTCTCATTTGATCCCCAGGAGGGTCCCAGGAGGTGGGCGGAGCAGGTGCCATTGCACTGATGTGAGAGGGGACAGAGCTGAGGAGGTAGCTATCCAGGTCCTTAGGGGTGGCTGGTCATGCCCGGAGCTGGCTCTGATTGCCTGTGGGAAGCAAATTCTGCTTCTCCCAAAGAGCTGATGGTGTTGTGGACGGCCAAAGCCAGATTCATGAGCTTTTATTCACCTTATTTACAGGGTTGGACTCTAAATGGTGTTTGTTGGCTTTGTGGCCTGGACCCCCAGGGACAGGGGAGAAGACAGCCTCGTGTTACTGAATGGGCCCAGTCGCCCACGCAGAGGCCTTTGTAGGGAGAGCTCTCAGTTTCACATTTAACTTTGTGCAGGGTTGTGAGGGGGGAAGAATCCCTATTCTTAGATGAAAGTTGCCTGTTGGCCAGGGGCTGTTCCAGCAGGCCAGGCTCCAAGAAACTGCCCACCCAGTCAGCAGCGACGCCTCTGCCCCCATCACCTGGCCACCTCCCTGCCTTGCCTGCACCTGTCCTGGGCCTGAGCCCTCTGCCATATCCGGGCAGGACTGGACCAGATCAAAATTTCCCTTCATGATCTCTTTTCCTTTTTTCTTTATAAAAAAAAGCATCAACTGTACCTGGTTGCAATAGGAATAAAAAGAGGTAATACGTAATTCAGTACTGTACAGATTAAAATGCTGTATAAATGAAAGGCGTACTATAGCATAAATAAAGTATATAACTTAACATCTACGATACAGTACATAAGATGCATGGTTTCACTTAAAATGACCGAAACACTTTTGTATATAGATTATATGTGTACAGTATAACATAGGACTTAATTTTCTATATAATGTGGTTTGTAGTATGTACTGTGATCCATAGGATTACATAATATCTATGACATATCATACTCCCAGCGCAGAGAAAGTAGAATCGAAATCAGTTGACATTAGGCTATTTTGGCATTCGAAACATAAGCCCCAGATTTGCGATTTTAACAGCTGAAGCTAAGAGAAAGAAAACTAAAAATACTAAAGGAGAAGATATCTCCGTGAACCGGCAATGTGGCCTGCTGGGTGCAGGGGTCCGTGGGAAGACAGAAACCCCAAGAACAGGTCTGGGAAGGGGCTCCGCAGGAGAGAGCCCTCTCGGGAGAAGGTGGAAGAGTTGGGCTTGGCAGTGATTGCTTCTACTATTTATGAAGCCAGATGAGGAGCTATAGGGCTTGCGGTGGCCCCTGTGTCTGCTGATTAGCTGGAGATTATATTGATGATGTAATAAAAATTCACTTTGTCTATTAAGTTTCACCAGGACAATCAGGGAGAGATTAGATAGAAATCAGAGGAAATGAATAATAGAATGGAGGAGGAAAGCCACGAGTCTCATCCCTGCCATGGTCCCTGTCTGTCTCCCCTTTCCCCTGCCCCCAAAGGGCATGAACCAAGAAGCCCCTGCCCCAGGAGCCAGGCAAAGCTGCGCTGGAATCTTCCCTTGAGCTGGGCTGCTCTCCGGGAGGGCTGTGGCGCTCCAGATATGACGTTGGTTTAAGTTTACGGACCATGTTTAATATTTGATTAAACCTTTGGCACAACAGCCTTCGTGAGCCACTGGCCCTTCAGGGAGACGGGCAAAGTGACTGGCTCCTCAGCCACCTGGGTCCCTCTGGTGCCGCAGCTCGGGAGGTGGAGTCCTACTTGGGCCACGGAGCTCTGGGCCAGGCAGGCCTGTACTGCCTGCCGGTAGCAGAGGCCTCCCTGCCTCGCACTCTCTCCCTCTGGCCTGGCCTGCGCCAGAAAGTCCCCTGATTAGAGAGAGATGTTTCTTCGGCTTAAAGCCTGGGCTCTAAAAGGTCCCCGTTAAAAGGCACGTGGCAACAGAGATGGTAACACGTTAACGTCCATTAGCCACCAGGGACATATCTGCCCACTTGGATTTGTCAGATCAGCAAGGGGCAGGACTTCGAAAGGATAGGAAAAGGAGGTCACTTTTGGTTGGGGACTGTTGCCTGAGGGCCCTGGGTCCTAGTTTGGTGGCCTAGGGCTTAGAGTTTGGGACATGGGGTGGGACTGTCTAGCGGGCTGGATGACCGGGAACTGGGAGGGTGCTGGAAGACCACCATTAGTGACTTCTGCATCCCTGCGGGGAGCTGAGTTTTTCAGTTACTCCAGCTCTGTGACTGAGCCCAGTTCTGTTCTCCCCTGAGAAATCCCTGGGGTCAGGAAGATGCCAGGGATCAAGGTCTGTGGAGGCCTCTTAGAGGGGAATGTCCCTTGTCTAAAGAGCTCGCCCCGAAGGCCACCTCATCCGTTACTGCATCTCTGGGCTGGATTTCTCTCCCAGAGATGGGAGAGGTCCCCTCATTGCTCTTCTGCAGTACGTGGGCTGCCAGGAGCCCTTGGCACCTTTGCCCAGGTGTACCGACCACAATGGGAGCAGTTCTTCCAAGGACCTGCCAAGATTCCTCCAGCTGCAAGACCAGTGTCACCCCAGAAAACTCTGTTCCCTGGCTTTGTCCCATTGCCTGGCTGCTGTCCAGCCACTCCTGTGCTGGAGGTGGGAGCAGTGGAAGAGCAGAGGGTGCAGGAAGATTCTAGCCTCCAGACACCCCCCAGCGTACGGCTCGGGATGTTCAGTTGAGTGAGTCTGTGGGGACAATCTGGATGCCTGCCTCGATGACAGGAAACATCGTGGCTACAGGTTTCAATATTCCATGAGTAATTTCTCAGCACAAGTGGGCTGCAGTTGGGACAGCTGAAGGACACTGCAGCCCCAAAGCAGGTGAAGACAGCCCTGCCAGGTTCATTGTGTGCCACTGACTTCCTTGGAAATCTCTGCAACCCACCTGCCCACCCCCGACTGATTCTCCCTCAACCAGGCAATAAACTTGGTCCAGATTTATTCAAAGTGAGAAATTCCTTTGTCCACCAGCCTGAGAACGAGACTTCATTGCAGCGGGACAAAAGCAAAGCGTAATGAAACAAAACACAACACCCTGACCTGTCAGCTCTCCAGCCTCCCTGCTCTGTCTGGTTCCCGTCTGCGAGCCAGGGCTTATGCAGCTCCTGTGTATTTGGGAACCTGGCGCCAAGCCCCCTGAGTCCCTCCACCTGATTACCCATGCAGGGCGTTTGCATCGGGCAGTTGTATGTTTGGGGTTGCCGCTTTCTGTCACATTCAGAGTTATTTTGCGGCAGTGAAGGCGAGTCCCCCACCTTCTGAGGACAGACACTGACACTTGGGGCACCTGAGTTGGACATGAATCTGCGCTTCCTTGAAGGAGGCCAGTGTCTCCCCCATCAGACCCAGGGACTTCTGGGGTCGGAGGGACATGGCATGTCTCCCCTACTGTCCGTAATGCCCACCTCCTCTCTGCAGACACCTCCTTCTGCACCCTGAGGGCAACTATGGGGAGGGCTGGGGGCGTCCCAGGGGCGACTGCAGTTGAGTCCCCCACTCTTGCCCCAGCAGGCCCCTCCTCCTGCCTCTGCTGGTCTGCGGGATGCTCTCCTCCCTGCGGCGTGGCCTCTGCAGCGGACCAGCCCTCTTAATCACTGGCTCAGCCGAGACAAGGTCAGAACAGTCTGAGTTAACGCTTTGCGGAGAAACTTGAGAAACTAAGGGAGAAACAAACTCAGGCCTTGGTGGTGGCACAAGGAGCAGACAGGGGTCTCGAACCTGAAGGGCGCAGGAGTTGGGCTCCCTGCTGGCTCCAGTTGGGCAGTGCCTGCAGTTCGGTCCTTTCTGCTCAGCTTCCCACCTGTCTCAGCCGGGGCCTGCTGGAGGGGGCGCGCCCCCTGCAGCCGTGTGTGGCTGGCCGGCCCTTCAGAAGTGTGACCTCTTGCTCTAAAGTCGGAGCCGCCCACTGTGACTTGGTCTGCCCAGTCAGCAGTCACCGCAGCCGAACACCCTGACCTTCTTGCACAGAGACCCCAACCTTTAGCTTGCTGCTCCCCGACCTTTTCCCTGGGGACACAACTCAGCTGCCGGGTCCCAGGCCTCGCCTTTCATTCCTCATTCCAAGGGATATCCAAACTTGCCCAACAGAAGTGCAACAGAATTTACCCTAAAATAAATCGAATCATTTGCTATTCGTAATAGTCAAGATGACAGCACAGAGGAAGGTCTAATTTTTTCAATACAAAGATTTTTAAAAATTGGACAAGAAAATGAAGCTGAAAAATAAGGCAGAGGCGGCTGTCCTGCTCTGTGTCTCTGTCACTGCAGTGATGAGCGGGGCATAAATTGCTGTACTGGGGCCTCAGCTGGGCCTCGGTGGCAAGTGTGCCAATTGGTCACTAATCGGTGGGTCCTCCGCCCGGGCCTGTCCGTTTCATCAGACGCAGCGTGCAAGCGTGTGCTGCGCGCGTTTCGTGGAGACACTTGGAGGGTCCTTTGCAGAAGTTGAGGGACATAGCAATTTGGAGTTGGACTCATATCAGGGCCTAAGTATGGAAAAGATTCTGGTCCCTTGCTGATAAGCTTCTTAACATAGGGAATTAAGAATAAAAACCATATGAAATCATAGACTGTAATTATTAATTTTTGAAATGAAACAAAACTCACACGGGTACAGAAACTACAATACTTTCTGTATTTTCTCATGCTCCTCTCTGGGTTTGTGTGCTCCTGTTTTGCTGGCCAAGTGAGGGAAATGACCTGGGGTCCTGAGTCACCCAGCCCAGCAGGGAGCTGCCACGCACAAGGAGCGGCAGACCCTGGCCAGCAAATGAGCAGGGCGCAGAAGAGGTCTGGCCCACGGCTCCGTGACCCGGCAGAGCCTGGGCTGCAGAAGGAGCTGGGCGCTTCAGCGCAGGGGCCGCGGCGTGTGCGCAAGAAGTTCTTCGTCTTGCCGTCAGAGGGCAGGCGACAGCTGGAGGAGACAGGAGCCCTACCCCATCCCCCCAACACACACACTGGGGGGCCTCCCCAATGTATGGAGAGGGTCTAAGGCAGTAGTGGCATAGCCTCTGGGCTCTCCTGTTCTGCCTAGGGCTGCTTAGGAGTTGGGCACTTCAGCTGAAGGACTGAACTCCGGCGCCAGCACCTGCCCTCCTCATACACTTTCTGTGGCCGCGCCCAGCCTGTGCCGAGATGGGAGCCAGTCTGGAGATCTGGGAACTGCCAGGGTCTCAGCTAAGAAGGCTGGGCTGTGCACACCCAGTGAGGAAATGGCAGTAGCCCGCTAGGGCCCTTGGTCTCTGCGCTTTCTTATGGGAAGGGGAGCACTCTGCCCCAAACTGAGCCCCTTCTATCCCAGCCACCATTTCCTTGCTCTCCTCTACAATCAAAGGCATCCTGCCCTCCCCGCACCTCGGCAGCCCCTTTCTTATTCATGACCCCCCCACCGAGGGGCCTGGGCTCAAAGGCAGGCTCCCTTTCAGTTGCCTTGACGACTCTGGAAACAGAGAAAAGGAATGATCAAAAAGCCTATTGGGCCTTTGGCTGTCACTGGAGATACTTCCCCAGCCTGCCCTCTTCCCTTCCTGGGGAGCCCCAGACACTGGAATTCTCTGCGTTCTGCTCTTTCCTCAGAACACCCCTCCAGGTGTTACCCAGGGACATCCTGAGCCAGGGCTCCGCCGAGTAAGGGACTGAGGCGTCTCACTCTCTGAGACTGGAAGTGAGCCTTAGTGAGAAATGGCTTTCTGAAGTTCAGAACAGTCCTGCCCCATCAGCAATGCATACGGGGCAGCACCCCGAGTTCATGGCTCTGCTGACCCCAAGAACCTAATGGCAGTGACGGATCGGACTGAGTGCCTTTCCCTTTGAGACGCCCAAGCTGCAGAGTGCACACTGGCATCCCCTGGAGCGTGTCCCACCATGGAAACCGGGATGATGCTTCAGGCTCACACCACCCCCTCGGAGATAGACCTCTTCACAGAGCAGGGGCAAGGATGCTCCTGTGCCTCATCCGGTGAGACTAAGCCAAGCCAAGTATTGATTTGACAGAAAGACATGGATATGCTGGATGGATAATGGTTAGGGGATCCTATTTCTCTCTTTTCCTGTTCAGAGAACACCTCTCCTCCACCGCACCCGCTGAAAAGCAAAGTCTGGATGAGGGAGAGTGTTCTCACCGGTCACCCAGGGACGCCTTTTCTCCCCCGGTGGTCTCCTTCCGGGAGTTCAAAACCATGAAGCCTCTGGGAACCGGGTCCCCCTCTCCCACCATGGCAAGCACTCCCCACATCTTCGTCTCTCTGCATATTCTTAGAACCAGTCAATATGATTAATTTTACATGGGCATAATTTCCTGCTATTGCTGCGGAGTCCTCCCGGCCTCACCCATCAACA